TTAAACAAAGATTTTGAATTGGTTATTAATTTCCTGTTATGTTTTGGGAAGTTTTTTTTTAAATTATTGTTCACAAGTGCAGATGGTTTAAATATAAACCCAACTTTATTCAATGGTGTAATGAGGTAAAACTCTTATACAAATCTTTAAAATTTGTTAAGAACAAGAAAGCCCTTAAGTTGATTTCTCTTTTGGATTTGTATAATTTAATTTAAAAGCCCATTTTCTTGTATTTTATTTTTGAAGCATCTTATGTATTTATTTACTTTGTATTTGTCTTTCTGGTTTAGTTCGTTTTATTTTGACGATTTATTTTTATTTTTTTTCTGTTTTTGGTTATGCTCAACCAAGGCTGATTAAGATCTGTTACATTCTGGAATGTGATTTTGTACCTTGTTTGATTGTAAAGTTGATGCAAGGTGAACGCAGTAGAGGCAGTAGGCTAAGCACATGTGACGTGCCATTCCCGCATCTGCGCCCGCTCGCACCTCATGTTTGCGGCTGAATGCAAATGATCATAATTAATGGACAACTATGCCTGTGAAAAGACATCAGCAATCTGGCGCTGAGAAAAGAAACAGAAAAAAAAAAAGATGAAGCCCATGCATCACTTTCAGGTAGCCTACATTCAGACCACAAAACCAGTCATAAGGGTCAATTTTTTGAAATTGAGATTTATACATCATCTGAAAGCTGAATAAATAAGCTTACATCCATTGATGTATGGTTTGTTAGGATAGGACAATATTCACTAAAAAAACCTTAAAAACATCAATTATCAAGCCGTTTTGACAGCTGACAGACTGTCCCGTATTAGCATATTTCAGCCCTCAGCCAGTTGTACTCTGTCCGCCATTTTCTCCGCGCTTTGAGCAGCTGTAGCGACAACAATGTATTGTAAGCAATGCAGGTGTTTTGTAGTTGGATGTAAAAGTGAACATAGGAGTCTTCATTTTCTCCCAACATGAGAGCCACTGAGGACGCAGTGGATTAGTTTTGTTTTTGATGGTAACTCGCCACCAAATGCACAAAAAAACAGAAGAGAGGGGAGGGGCGGGGAGAGCAGAGCTCATTAGCACTTTTTTTTCCCCCTTGCATGTCATGTGTGGGGCTCCTTAGTTTTACACAACCAGTACCGCCGCTCCCTATACGCAGGGTACGCTGTTTGCGTAGGGCACTGACTCCCAGGGGGGCACCATCCCAGTTGCTCAAAAAAACAACAAACTTTTGTTCTATATTAATATTAACATAAGCATATACATAAATACAAATATAAACATGAAAATATATACATAATTATAAAAAATGCATTTTACGGTGAATGCGGTAGGCTATAAGCACACGTGACGCGCCATTCCCACATCCGCGCCCACCGTCATCTCATGTTTGCGGCTGACTGCAAATGATCATAATTGATGGACAACTATGAAAAAGACATCAGCAGTCCGGCGCAGAGAAAAGAAAAAGTTAAAAAAGCCCAAGATGAAGCCCGTGCATCCCTTTCATGTACGTTCATAGTCCTGTGAAACTTTTTTGGCTGTTGACATTAATAACCCTTATTAACATTAATTAATGTTTTAAATTATCATATGATGAGCTCATTGACGACTTCGCCTCCAGAAAAAGCAGGAGTGCATTTGTAAATTTTGAAATTTGTAATGAAGGAAATTTACAAAATATCTTCATGGACCATAATCTTTACTTAATATCCTAATGATTTTTGGCATAAAAGAAAAATCGATAATTTTGACCTGTACAATCTATTTTTGGCTATTGCTACAAATATACTCATGTGACTTAAGACTGGTTTTGTGGTCCAGGGTCACAAATATTTTGCAGACATTTCATGAAGACCCTAAAGAATCATACCAACTTGTGGATGCCTTTAATGCATTTTTCCCCCCATACTTATTGGTACATAATTAATGTGTTAAATTGACAGCCCAAAAATAAATACATACATACATATTTAATACAACAAAGAAAACAGAATATAAACACAAATGCAATAAAGGCCAAGTTCCTGTGAAATATCTTCACAATCCTCTATAGTGTGTCTTTACGTACATCATTATGTGTGTATTTTGGTGGAATTTAGTGGGCAGATTTTGTCTGTAGATGATGACATTGTGGGGTGGGACAGCATCTGGGGAGTAGAGCTTAGAGCTGCAGTGTGTCTTCTATTTGTTTAAGTAAAAGCAATCATGTTTATGAAGGCCAAAAGTAGCCATAGTGAATGGTCAGTATGTGAGCCATTCACAATTTTGAAAAGAAAAAGTGATTAAAAAACATGGGATAGCTTTAATGCTTTTGTGGCTGGGCAGGTTTATATAAACCCAAATAATAACTGAAAACTCTAACAATATGGATCATAAATTCATATTTTCTGTCACTTGATTACACTTACATGTTCTGTAAGGAAAAACAAAAAACTGAAAAAAGGAGCCAGTGACAATTTAAAAGTTCAAATTTACAGAAACTGAATAAGGATATCAAGTATCTGTTGAGAGTATGTTGACAGTCTGTGCAGTTGAATGGCAGAGCTCCACAAAATGAATAGCGAGTTGGCATTGAAAGAATTTACAGAAAAACAAATACGTTACAATTTTACATTTTAGACTGAAGAATCCTAACTCAAGCACAAATAATAATTTTAGCATACAATGGTTCTACATGAACTACATAGAACTGTTACTATGTGTAAAGAACCATCTTTTTTATACCTTTAAAGAATCCTCCAGATATGATTAAGAGCTCCAGAAAATATAGCATTTTACAACAGATAAATAGAGTCATCAACATCAAATCCTCCAAAGTTTTTTGTATTTTCATTTTTTTGTTAATGTATGTACATTTATAACACTATACTTTGTATTACATTACCTTTGCATCAAATTACAAAAAACTAGTTAACACTAATGCGAGGGTGTTTCTAATACAGCATCTATGGGAGTGACGGTAAATTTGACATCGTTCTCTCTACTGACTGCCGTTATCAGTCTCTCTTTTTTTCTTTTTTTGAAAGTCATGAAAACACTATCATGGACTTTTTCTTTTGCTGTTTGAGCAAATGGGAATGCAAAAAATATATATACCCATTCACTGCCATAGAAGTTTACCCAACTATGACGATGACTTCTGCTGAGAATCCCGGAAATGTGAAAAAGGTCCATTGTGTGAAAAAGAAGAGAGGTGGTGGAGAAAGAGATTCTGTACAACTGTGCAACTTTCTCATGTGGATCAAAAGATATTTTGAAGAATGTCCTAGCTGCTCTTTTCCATAGAATGAAAATATACTGTGGACTGTCAAGCTCTAGAAAAGGTCATAGTACTCATGAACTATATTCTGAAGTTCTACAATAACTTTATTTATCAAAATCATCAAAAAAACACTGGTAAAGTGTTTATATTATATGTAAAGTTTGAATATGTGCATCAATAATGACTTCAACTTTTAATATTTTCCTCCACACAAAGCTATTTTATGTGGCTTCAGAAAACAAAGAATGCATGGACATCTTTAATGATGTTTTTTGCCTTGTAAAGTAAATGATGACAGAATTTTAATTTTAGCTAAACTATTTAAGGGTGTAATGGGATGACCGGTGGTCAGTCAGATGAGAAGAGAGTATTGCTTTGTGTAAATACTGACGCCACTGTGCCAGCGAGGATACTCTAAAACAGGTCAAGACAGATGGCACTGCCAGCCTGCTACTCTACAGGACCCTCCCAGTTGAGCAAACAGTGACGGCAGACTCTTAAACCCAGCAGGGACCCTTTGTGATTGGAGCACACTTGAGTAAATCTCCCCACACTTGAACACGGGTCTCCTTAGATTACACACACACACACTTAATCATGTCACAATGTCAGCTCCCTCCGCCAGACAAGAGCACTCATCCTGGAAACTGTGGAGGTCAAAAGCACGGGATTGATTTTCCCTCCATCTTGTCCCTCGACCAGCAACTGTTATTTCCTACTAGCCCTCACACAAATGTGTTTGTGAGAGAGACCGACAGACAAAGAGGAGACAAGGGTCTGTGTTTGGAGTTTTAGGATTAATGACCCTTAAACGGCTTTTAATGCTCTGAAGTGTAACTGAAGACACCGTTTATCCTCAGGTATTCAAGATATTCAGTGTTTTGTGGCTCAAATGATTGGCCCCTCACTGCTGTAAACTGTCTGAATAACAGGTGAAAGTGAGTTGTGTATCTTATCGGGAATGAAACGACAGGCTTACTGACTCAAACTAAAACAAAACATTCCATTTCAGGCTTCCTAGAAAGAAAATGTTATTTCATTGGCTTTAAAGACTGCATACTACACTTCTCTTTCACCTGTGGCCAGCAGTCATTAGTATGGATTCAGTTCTATTCTATCAATATCTGAGGTGCTGTGTCAACGCACACAGGCTCTAAGATGCTGTCGATAGTTTAAAGAGAGGTGAAACACTATCTAACCCTAAGTAATGGGGTTATTTGCTGACACTGCAAAAAAAGGATTATGGAAGCATTCATTCTTCCCTTTTTGTCTATAGGGAAAGCGTCTTCCTCCGTACTTGTCTGCAGATGCTGAAGAGGGTGAGGTGTCTGACGATGACAGTGCTGATGAGATTGAAGATGACTTCAAGCTGAAGAATAGCATGGTAAGACTAACACACACCGATCAGGATTGAGCACAATGACTGATCACTAACACACCTATATACACACTCAGCAGAGTGATTTCATTTATATTTGTACATCAAATGTACATGTACATTTTTGTCCATTTGGATTGGCATTAAAAGGTACTGATAGCATCATAAACATTACCTTTTACATATGTACAACTTTACAGTATCGCACTGCACTGACACAGTGCCATAACGGGACTGCCAATCATCAGTAAATAATGGAGAAACCTGTTCAATAAAGACCTTTTTAATACAAGGTTTGTTTATAAACAAATTATATAGAAGAGTATGTTTGTATGGATGACATGGTCTTCAAAATTCAATGAGTACAAACCGTTGTTATGTCAAATGAGGTAAATGCGATAATGTGGTAAATACATGTGATGGTGTTAAACATAATTAATCTCATTTATTAGAAATACTATAAAATCAGCCTCTTATTTTCATGAATTTAATGTTCTATGTACCTCAAAGATCAAACATTTGAGCCTCTTTAAAGTTGTACCTACTTTACAAGTACATGAACACACATGCATAAAAGGAAACATTTATACTAATAACCACTGTAGTTCACCATGCACAGCATTAAGAATGCATTTACAGTTTATTATATTTTTAATTGAGGTCTGACACATTACAAACCCAGTGTCTAAGCAAAATACAAACAGACAAAAGCACAATAATCTGTTGGTAAATCTGATCATGGCCCCTTCAAGATAAAAACAGAAAGAAAGTGAAACTGTGCTACTCAGGCTACGCAACGTGCTGGCGTCTGCGAGAGAGTTAATCTGTGGTTCCTCTTCAGGAACTCGAGCTGCGTCGAAAACGCTAGGGGAACGCCTTCTGCGACCCACGCTCTGAATCACATGTGAAATCAGTCCAATAGCTGAACGGGACGTCACGGCGGATGACGTCATGACCAGGAAGCTATAAGTTATGAAAATTCAATTTTTTTCTTGTGCTGCTATATTTGATTTGGAACTTGCGCATGAAAATGTCTAAAACCTGACACAAATTCGGATGCAATTTCACTGCCTGAAAACCATGTCTTAGTGTTTCAAAAGCATTAAAACAACTTTAACATTGTGTTTCATCATGTCATTTGACATCACTAAAATACAATTTTGTTGGTTGAACATTAATATTGTATTTTAAATGCAATTTTCTTAGTGTCATTTATAAATGACGATATCCCATAGAGGGTTAAGCTGTGACAGAACAAAGTACCAGCAGTTTATGAGAGCTGCTTGTACACTAATCATTTCAGGCACTGTGATCACCATAACACATAAACACAGCGACACTTAAGAACAGTAAATAATTCAGGAGTTTAGTGGTACAACGTATAAAAAAAAAATCCTCTTGTGTGCTGCCCCTCTATCACCCTGGCAAGCGCTATGTTGCCTATGCCATGGGCCAGTCCTGGTTGCACATAAAATGCTACTACACTTACAAGTACCTTATTAGAATTACCAATAAGTTAACGTTGCCTTTTCACTAGGGTTGGGTATCGTTTGGGTTTTTTTTGATACCGGTGCCAAATCGATACTTTTAAAATAGTTCCAGTGCCTAAACGGTGCCTGAACCAATACTTATTAAAAAAAATAAAAATAAAAAATAAATAATCCCCCCCAAAAATGATGGATTGGCCATTAGAATAGAAATAGAATAGAGAGTGCAAATGTTAGAGGGTCAAGTTTTTTAATAAAGAAAAAAACAAGCAGATCAAATTAGAAGTAGCATTAGAATAGAGAGAGA